CCTTTGTTTGTACCCCTGCTTCTTCATTCACATTCTTTATTCTCAAATTATAGATCCTCTTGTTGTCTTTTAGCCTTTGTATTGTTACTGCTTATTTCCTTGTTATTTTTAAAAAGTTTTTCCTTTCATGCTCCCACATTGCGAAATTGTCCTCCAGTTTAAATAATCTATTCTTAGTTTCTTTCAAGCAGATTTGCCATCTTTCCATAGAGTTTTTAATTTCCTGGTGACCTCTTTGAATCTGCTTCATGTATTCTATATTTTTTATATTTTTCATCAAATGGTTCTCTCCTTTGTTTGAGTTCCTCACTTCTTCCATCTGTGTCTGCTTGTGGGGTGCTTAGTATGTCTTTTATTAATCTTCTTGTATCTTGCTTTATTTGGCTAAATATTTCACTTTTGAACTCGTCTAGAGGTCCCGAATATATCTCTTTATGTCCACTGGCACTGTGTCTGCTACTGCATGTTTGCTGTTCTCATTCTCCTTTGTATTTACCTGTCCTGGGTCAATGTTCTCAGAGTTGGGACCTGGGGACTTTTTGTTGTTGCTTCCTCCGCCCATCTTTTTTTGCTTCTTCTAGGAGGACCCAGTTTCTTTCTTTGCTGATTACAATTCTTCTGAAGCACTGGCTAGATGACCCTTCCTACCACCATGTGCTAATGAGTTGCAGACAAGGACAGTATATGCTGGCTCTTCCCCTCCAGGTCAGTCAAGCTGCTGTGGCCTGCACTGTATTACTGAGCGCAGCCTGTGACCCTGCAGGTCAGTCTAACTGCTGAGTCAAACCTTCGGGTCAGTCAAACTTCACTGCGCTAGTGTTTTCCGATGTTGTAGGGAATTGATTTTGGATAACCTATTGGGTCTCAGCCAGGTCATGTGACCCAGGCCAAGCTCACTCCACCCATCCCATTTGGGAAGGGAACAACTGAAGTCACTACTGCCCCCTTGTACTTGTCAGTCCTGCCAGGTCCTAGCATGTCATTCGCTGGAGCCCCCCTTTCTGTGGAATAGGTCCACTCCCTTCACTCATCACAGGTCGATGCAGGCTTCCCACCAGCTCAGCTCTCCCCTTGGCTGGCTGACCCCTGACCTCAATGTGACTGCACCTCCAGTGAGTTGAAACGGCAGGACCTTGGTCGACTCAGCAAGTCGCCCACGGTGGCAGCAGCACTGAACCTTTAGCTGTTCCAATAATAGCACTGGGACTGTATGTTTGATTGGTTCTTCTCAACTTAGTTTTTTCTTGGGATGAGAGAATTCATCTCCTTCTCTTTGGGGCTCCCTCTGTATTATGTTGAATTCTAAGTTGACTATCTCAGGGAGCCTCTGTAGTCAGCTATTATCTATCTGTCATTTTTGCTCCACATCCTATTGCTTTGTTTTAAAAATATCTTTAAAATACAAAAATAGAAAAAAAAAGATTTTGTTCCTTTACCCCCCCTGCTACTTCCCCTCCCCTAGACCGAGCAGGAGGATGTTGCCTCCAACAGAATTCTAGAAGGAATTTCTAGATATCAGTGTGCTCTTGGATGTTGTCATGGCCTTTGTATGGCATTAGCACTGGCTGCTGTGTGTAGCAGAAATACACGGTCCCCATGGCATCTTTCTATATAATTGCCACATGTTCTCCCACTGATGTTTCCTATGGCAAGACTGCCTATGGAATTTTGTGACCTTGTGGCTGGCACACAGTACCCTTCCAACAAATATGTTCCCAACATTTAGCAATCTGGGGATCCATAGTGAAAAAGAAAGAACTGCTAATTAGAAAAATAGAGAAGAAAGGAGTTGACCACAGTGTACTATGTAAGCACCACAATAGGGAAGCACAGGGGTATGGGGAATATGAGGGAAGAATGGGAAAGAAAAGCTGAGAAGGTTCTGGAAGGCTTCCTGGAAGAAATAACACCATAGCTCCAAGAATCCATTTCAGTTGCAGGAAATAACATGTATAAACACCCAGACACTAGCGTTCAGAGCCTCTTTCTCCTCTTGAACCTGCATATTTGGTAACAAAACCTTGTTCTGGGTTTTGCATAGCATGCCAGGCTCCCCCAATGGTACTTTAAAGTGAAACATAGACTATTAGGACTGAGTAAAAAAAAATCATTTTATTTCATGGTTAAGAGTGTCAGGAATCAAGTGCTTTATAGGTAGGCACATTTTTGGCACTCATTTTTCCTTTAGAACTCAGCCTGACATGATCAATCATTTAAGACTTTTCTGTGTGGTTCTAATTCATTTTAAAATCTTCCTTGCTTTGGTTTTAGCCTGCTTTATGCACCCAACTGAGGCCTCCAGAACTCTAGTACAGTAGCTTCTAGTTCCAGTGTTCAGGAATCCTCCTAGTCCTAGTCCTACTTCTCTCTCTCTCTCTTTCTCTCTCTCTCTCTCTCTCTCTCTCTGTTTCTCTCTCTGTCTCTCTCTCTCTCACCTCTATCCCTCCCCTTCTCCAAATTCTGCCCTCTTTAATTCTGATTCCTAGATCCCAGCAGTCCCCTTCTGATCTTTCTTAAACACGTTTCCTGACAACCTCAGACAGTGGGCAGGGCTAGGAGCCTGTTTTGGGAAGAAACCCTATGCTCCTAACTTGGGTATCCTCACAGGAGACTGTTGTTCTTAGTGTGAACCTGGCTCAGAAGACCTCTAGCTCTCCCATAGTGTCTCTTGTGGCTGTCCCTATTACTTCATAAATGGAAAAGTTGAGGCTCAAAGACAACAAAGTCTTGCCAAGGTCATACTTCAAAATAGTGGCTGAGCTGAGACTAACCCTAGTCTCCTGCCTTTCAACCCAGTGCTCTTTTCCAGGAATCAGGCTGCCTCTTGCAAAGCTTGGCTCTTCCAGGTGACATCAGCTGCCACCCACTGAGTGCATTGTGTACTCATCTCTCTTAGCATTTCCTTCTTGGGCCACTTCATTAAAACCGAAGCTGGACTATCCAGGCCTCTGACTCAGAGCTTAGCAAAGAGCTTCCAGCAACGTCTATATGTGATTTAAGGAAACAGTAGGGGAAGGAGGTGCCTTTTTCTGGTTGGGTGGGAGGTGGTGGTGCAAACGGAGGTGAAGAGACTCAATTAAGTGGTAAGATTTGAGTGGAAGCTAATATTTTAGCATAAGATGTACCACAGGGACCATAGGAGTGGGGTGGAGAGTGAAAGGGCTACATCCAAAAGTTTAGGATTACTGGTTAGACATATTTCAGCACAGAAATATATTTACTGGGTTCCAAGAATCCCTATGATACACTGTTAGTGCAAATATATTAGTAAAAAAGGATGTTCTCACACTTCCACTTTTGTGAGCATAAACTGAGTGTGTCCTCAAAGTGCCTGTGAGTGGTAGGTACAAATCATCTGTACCAATCTCCATTTTAGGCAGCCGGGTTAATTTTTGCTCCCAGGCTGATTGGGAGATAATGATTCCTGTGATCTCCCAGAGATGCTGTGGCACAGATGTTCCCCTGTGAACACACAGAGCTGAGACCTTGTTTTCTCCACTGTGTCCCATAGTGAACTGCGCCATGTCAGATTGGAACCGCTCCCACAAAGAGCACATCTGAGAGCCTGGGATTTGACATCAAGGTATTATCTGACTAGAAAAAGCAGAATGTCCTCGTGCCCCTTAGGTTACAGGGTCACCAGTGCCCAGAGAGCTCTTTTCTATCATGGGGGAACCAACTGCATATGAAGCAATTTCAGATAGTCAGTGGGAATGGCGCTTTTACAGAGTTGAATACTGTTGGCCCCAATTCGAGTCCATGTGGAACAAATGAATGTGATTTTACTTCAAAACAGAGCCACTGTTGGTGCAATTAGTTCAATTAATAGGGTGGGCTCTAATTCAATGACTGGTATCCTTATAAGAAGAAGCAAATTTGAATATAGACACACACACACACACACACACACAATGGTCATGTGAAGAGAGGGGAGCACAGAAAATTTCTACACTTGTAGAACCTTTCCAAGTGAAACTGTCCCAAGCAACTTTTAACTCATGAAGCTGAATCTAAGAATGAATGCCTAAAAGCCCCAGCAGGGACAAGAATAGATAATAATAGAAGCATATACTTACCTAGCATTTGGTACTGTTTGAAGTGCATATGTCAATATACATCGGTCTGTTTCTCTTGATACCCCTCTGCCAGATAAGAAAGTTGAGGCTCAGACAGCTGCACCTCTTCCATAGTCTCATATGATAAGTCGTGATCTTGACATCTGCTCCAGAAAGGCAGCAGAGCTGCCAAGGGGTTCGGGCTAGTTCTCTTCCCAATCTCTCTCTATCCATGGCCTAACGTTTGCCCCTCCGCAAGCAGTAGCCGATTTCTAGGGCCGGCCTATGAGGAGGCTTCCATGTGGTGGGGCTGGAAAGGGCTCCTTGCCTCCAAATATTGCCATCCAGAAAAAAGATCAAGGGGCAATGGGAGGGTAGGCTCTGTGAATACATGAGCTTGTCATCCTCAGAAAGATTTAGTCCTGGGATGAGGGAGAAGACACATCAAGAAACACTCAGAGAAACACCTGGAGAGACAACATGGTTGGGAAGGTGGGTGAAGCAGCTTAGAGAGGACAAGGATTGTAAAAACGTCCAGAAAGCAAGATCTTGATGGGAAAACCCAGGGCCTTTCAACCTGAAACAAGTGGGAAAAAGGAGATGGGACAGAGCACACAGAAGAGTGTTGAGCCCACCTCTTCCCCTTCCTGCTACTCTGGCTCAATCCCCAGGTCCCACAGCTTCTGTTAAAGACAACCTGATAATGTCCCCATGCAGGTGGCATCTTGCCACAAGGAAGTGTCCACATCTCCCAGAGGACAGGCTTTCCTGCAGCGGGATCGACTCCTTAACTCGGTCTCTTATTTCAAGTCCAAATCCTCCTGGGAAAGCTGCCTGGGAAATAATTTGCCAGGAAGCATTAAAGCCACCCCTCCCCCTGCTTAAGAGGGTTCAGGTTGGCTGCTCTCTGCTGAGAAGAACTGGCGGAGGGAGGGAAGCTGGGGAATTCCACAAGGGCAAAGAGGGCTGGAGATCTCTCAGAGGACTGGGATCAGGGAGCAGAGCTCTGGGGACCTCTTAGAACTTCACAGTCCTCCCCAGCCATGGTCTTCTCCACATATCCTAGGACACAAAGCGGAGGTATAAGGAGGATTAAGAGTCAACTAATTATAGGTAAGAAAATTGCCTTTAAAAAACACCACTGTTTTAATAGGGACCATTTCTGATTAATTTTGCTAGATAAGGGGAGGGATACAGTTTTGATAGCAAACTATTCCAAGAGCTCATGCATTTCTGCATCCAGGCAGAGCATGTGTGCTCTGGTGAAGTAAGTCTTCCAGAACCTTTGCATTACATGGAAGGGAACCATGAGGGTGTTGTTCCTTTCTAACATACCCATACTCCGAGCCGTTAGGCTTTACAGCACACAGGGCCACTAGATACAAAGTACCAGTCTAGAATCTCACTCATGTAGCTGAACCAGAAAATTAATGCATTTTGCTGATTGCAGTGCTCCTTTCCTCTCTCCAGCTTCTTATCAAAAACCTATCTTAAAATCCACTTGCACTGGGGGCAGAATGTCTATTTGAAGCTTAGGAGATGGAAGAATTTGCCATTAGTGGGGTGGGATTTGGGACTGTCCTTCACAGAGCATGCGAACAGTGAAAATGACTGCATTTTCAGAGTTAGCTCCTCTGAAACCGGAAATGTGAACAGAGCTGACTTAGTGCTAATACTTTCTCTTAGTGCTATAAGAAAGAGGAAAGACTGTGCTCGGGTTAGCAGTGATGTGTGAAAACCACAGAAGAGGTTTTGTGAAGAAGAGCAACTGTGGCTTTTGCACAAGTTATTCCTAAACCGAGGCTGGGGACTGCATACGACACTTTTCAAAGTAGCTTCTGGATTGGTATTTCACTGAAACGAAGACCTTTGAGCAAGACCGGAAAGCCAAAATCTACATTTCATGACCTCTGCAGGAAAGAAATAGTTGCACTGTGGAACATTCTAGAATGGCAGGCTCGAACCATACCCCGGAAGAACAGCGGGCCTTTTTGGGTGGGAGGGGGCCAGACAGGGAAAATTTAATTCCCAATAAAGTTTTCTGCTCTTTCCACCCCCTCACCTAATTCTGTGGCCCCAGCTACCTCCCCTAACACAAAGAACCTGATTCAATAGCTGAGAAAGAAAAAAAACAAAACAAAACAAAAGACCGTTTAGGGGCTGGGGATTTAGCTCAGCGGCATAAGCGCCTGCCTTGCAAGTGTGCGGTCGTGAGTTCAATCCCTGGTACCATTAAAAACGAAAAAGACAAAAAAAAAAAAAAAAAAAAAAAGCTGGGAAAGAGGAAACAAAGGAAACAGAAGAAAAATGAATATGGATTTTAGAAAGTCCAAAACATTTGAACTCAAATGTGCAATGAATTTGTATGAGATACCCATGACGTGCACAAACACATGGCCCCAGAAAAAGTCAGTGATACTTTGGAAATCATTCAGACTTGGGTACGAAATTAGGAAAGAAGTTTTAGGAGGTAAAGATATAGATATTTTGGGGTTCAGAAAACAATACATGAAAACATGGCTCTTTGGTATGCTGACCGTTTCAAATGTAAAAAACAAAACCAGAAGGCCTTAGAAGCTGTCACAGAACCAAAGTCCCTCTGACCTTCCTTTGCTTTCTTCCTGCCCCAGCCCCCACAAAGGCAGGGAGTGGTGGTTTCCTGAATTTCCGTTACCTATCTGAAGACAGGATCCCACAAAGGAACACAATTGTCTTCCAATCTTCTACTGAAATTTCATTAACCAGATAAGATAAAACTCATATTGCAAGAGAGAAAACTAAAGTAGAGCACCACATCCAGACAGACCTTTCTGCAAACTATTGTTTGTTCTCTGGTCTTGTTCATTTACTATCCTGCTGAAATCACCTGTCATCCCCTGTATCTCTCTCATCTATGAACAAAATGGTTAACCCCACCCATGGAGGTTGTGGGTCGGGTTTTACCCTTTAATAAGGTGTAAGAAGAGCTCGTGTGTGTCTCTAAGGTCAGCTGTGACATCCGAAGGATTAAACTAACTACTTAGCCCTTCTCTGAGTTTCATAGTTTGTGTAGCTCTTGTGCACACTAATATACTTGTATGTTTCTTCTCTTGTTGATCTGTCTCTTGTCAAGTTTATTTCAGCGAACCCTGTGGGGGATTCCCTTAACCCCCACGTTTATCACTAATGAATAAATGAATAGGAAGGACAAAAACAACCTGAGAGGAAAACAAATGTCTTCAGCCCCTCACTTGGTTCCTTGGGCTGGTGTAAACCACTGTGGAGTAAATTAAGAACATTTGTAGATCGCCGACTCTTCTAAACATTATCCAGTTCAGACAGTTTCGTGAATGCATGAATTCTTTCAACTTCCAAAGAAGAGGTAATTTTGATATTTTTCAAATGTTCTAGAACAGAAAAAAATCAGACTCCTCCTTTTAAACCAAAGCCACATGACATTGATATCAAAATCTGACAAAGAACATAAAAAGTTAAGGTGCCTATCAGTCTCACACATTTACTGAAAATGTGATGCACTGGGCCTCATGGTAAAGGCCTTATTCCAGCACTTGGGACTCTGAAGCAAAAGGATCATGAATTTGAGGTCAGCTGGGCTACATAGCAAGACCCTGTCTCAAGAAAGGAAGAACAAGAAAGGAAGAAAGGAAGGAAGGAAAGAAGGAAGGAAGGAAGGAAGGAAGGAAGGGAAGAAAGGAAAGAAAGAAAGAAAGAAAGAAAGAAAGAAAGAAAGAAAGAAAGAAAGAAAGAAAGAAAATATGCTATGTAAAATATCACTTAACACTTTTCCAGGTGATCCTATTAGGTAGCTAGGATTGAAACTGACATAATAGGCATTTTACTCCAAGTTGCAAAATTCTTTTCTAGCTACTATGTATTGAGTGGCTCCACCAAAACACTTGTTAAAATTTAAACACTGTGAGATATGGTATGGGAGGTGCGAACTTTAAGTGATAGTTAAGGTTAAATAAAGCCATAAGGGTGGGGCCTCAATCCAGTAGGACTGTGGCATTATATGAAGGGAAGGTGAGACCTGGCCTAGATGCTCTGTTTCACCCCATGATGTCCTGCACAGTCTCAAGACCACATAGAGTCCTCACCATAAAGAAGGCTCTTGTAAGATGCAGCTTCCAGATCATGGATTTCTCAGTCCTCAGAAACATGAGCTCCATAAAGTCCTATTCTTTATAGATTACTCAGTGTGCTATCCAGTATAGCAACAGAAAATAGGTTTAGACACTGGCTGTACACAAATTGTTGTACATGTTATTTGAATCTGAAATCAGCTTTGATTCATGGCTGAAATGTAACTGAATGGCTCCTTAATGTTATAAAAGACTATTCATTAGACTAAATGTGTTCATGGAGAGAAAGACAGACCAGAAAAAAGAGCATAGAGCAAATAACCAACCATGGGGGAATCTCAAAATTAGATAAAAGTAAAAATGAGAAGCAAGGGAGGGTCAGAAGAATAAGGACTGAGATTTAGCACAGAAACCAAAGAAAGGGAAAAGATGGAAGATGGGTCACGGTCAAGTTCCTAGTTTCCTCTCTAATGTCACCCCCACAAAGGAGGCTTTTTCAGGAATGGTCAATGTGACCTGACCCTCAGAAGCACAGCCGTGCTGTGTGCCCTCAAATCCTACTGAGCATTCTTTAAGAACACAACATTAGGCAAGCCACTGTGTCCACCACGCTGTCACCCCATCAGCTATGAAAGTGAGAGGCCTTGGCATGGCACCTGGAAAACAACCTTCATTACTATAAGTGTTAGCTAGTGTTATCTCAGTTCTCCCACTGTGGACCTACATGGCACCATGCATCTCCTTTCTGTCCCATTTGTCCCAGTTTTCATCTTACAGTTGCTTCTAGTGATCAAATGGAAAAGTCCACTCCAAGACAACTTCCCTTTCAAATAATTTAAGGCAACTGATTTGGAACCTTAAAGACAGTCACACACTTCTTTCCTCTGAAACCTGATCAATGGCGTAATGTTCCATCATTCCCAGATCCTGTCCATGGGCAAAGGGGAAAGAATTATACAAGGCATCTTCAAAAGATGGTTGGAATTTTGGGGACCATGTTAGAATCCTGACTATCATAGTAATGCCATAGCTAATCTTTCTTTCACCCACTAGTGCATAAACTCCGCAAGGATACAGGCCCTGGATATTTGTAGAATCAATGAAAAAATTAATGAATGAAAAAATAGAAAGAACTAAAGAAAAGCAGCCATGAACTTTTTTGGTGATTTTAAGAGATGGTCTCACTATCAAGTCCAGGCTGCCAGGCTGTCCTCAAACTTGCGATCCTCTTGCCTCAATTCCCCGAATGCTGGGATATTACGGGTGTGTGCCACAGTGGGCAGCTAACGTATCTGTTTTGATTTGCCAAAACTTTCCCATTATATTAAAAAAAAAAGCAGAAGGAACCCTTGTGACTTCACAAAAAGTTGCAGGAAGCTGTAAAGCATATCCTCAGGAGAGCATCCAAACGTTTTGTTTGGTGTCCAGAGGCAGTGCGGCTGCTACCTCAAACCTCTCCTCTCTACTGCAGGACCCTGCCACAGGGTCTCCCACCCCCAGCTGCAGCTCTTTGCCAGAACATGGAACCTACACCTGGCACTCCAACCCAAGGTTACCATGTGACCTGACCTGTTTATGAAGAGATCAAGGGCATCCTGAGTGAGGAGAGGAAGGGGAGACGTGATATGTAAGGCCAAATTTAACAACTTCAGAGGGTAAATTCAGTGTCTTGCCTCCAAGTCACCCAGAACTTTTACTCTTGGACTGTTTTGCCAGTTGCTAGCCCAATTCTTTTCCCAGTGACTGATTCCCTATTCCGGACCAGAACCCAGAATAATTCCACTCAGGATTTTTCCTAATACCTTTATTGAGGTATAATTTCTGTACTGTACTATCTAGCCATCCATTGAAAATGCAGATTTTGATAACTTGCAGCGTATTCACAGTCTTACAACCATCGTCACTATTAAATTGCAGAACATCACCCCCAGAAAGAAACCCTGTCCCCTTTATCAGCCATGCCCAGTCCCCCGCCTATCCTCTCACCTCAGTCTTGATTAATGCAGAATTTCCTGTCCCCAAGTCTCTCTCAGGTTAGTGCCATACTTTTGGCCCCAGAGGGAATCAGAAGATGGAAGCTGAGATCCTGGCTGTGTTCCTGGCCAGTTGTGTGATGGTGTGGTCTTCCCTTTCTGTGTCTTAATTTTCTTAGATGTAAACTGGGACGAGTGGTTGGACCAAAAGGAGAGTTTGCTGGTCTTGTAGTCTATACACAAAGAACCACTGTAACGAAGTATTAGTTCAGTCCAACAGCTCAGCATTCTTATTGCTTCCACTATACCTTGGCTTTTGTTCACCTCACTTGCAACGCTTTCTACTGTTAGAGCCAGCTCCAGCTGTGCTGCCTCCAGGAAGTCCCCCAGATGGCTCTTTTCACCTAAACTTCTATGGCAACTCAGCCATCTACCACACAGCTGGGACTGTCCTTATATATAGGACACTTGTGTTTCTTGGGATGCTTAGAGAACACACCCCACAATGCTATCTTTTTCCCATCAATGCCTTATATTACTGTTTTTGTGATTCCCACATTTTACACCTTCCAACTATGGATTAGAGTGCAAAGGAAACAAGATGAGACTAACATGGTTGGGGTACTTACATGCTTCATCCAGGCTAAGGATTTGAGGTGCTTTATCTTATCGGCAGCTCCCAGCAGCAACTTCTGAGATGGAACCAAAGCAGGAAAGAGTCAAGTTACTTGGCCAAGCCAATAAGCAATGCAAAGAAGAGGAAAATCCTGATACCTGTGTTTGTGATTTTAACCTCTGTACTATAATGGCTCTCACTATGGTAGAAGATACTTGAGCAAATGTGGTTAAAGTCCAAATTTCTCTGTTAAGCCCCAGAGACCCACAGCAACCTCCACAGCCATGTCCCACCCAGTGATGTGCTGGCCATCCATTTAGGTCCTCAGCTCCTGATCACTTAGACTTTGGGTGATCTGTCAAGATCTGAGATGGGAGAGCAAGTGTGTGGGAGAATATGACTGCCCAGTGGGTCTCAATGGAAAAAAAAAATCCACCTCATGCAAGCCAAACTTCGGTTAAGAATTCATTTGCAATTAGCCAGATATTTCTTGCAAATTGTTCTTAAACCTCTTTTATTATTTTCACAGAAAGCTGAACATTTCAGAGTGTTTCACCAACCCATGCCTGATGGAGCTCTGGTTTTCTGATGAGAAAAGTGATAAGCATTCATTGTGGGAGACGTCAAAATGCAGAAAAATATAAAGAAGGAAACAAAAAGCACCGCAACTCAAAGATAATCACTGATAACATTTTGGAGTATTTCCTTCGAGACTCATCAGCTTGCATTCTCTCTCTGTGTCTCTTTCTCTGTCTCTCTCTGTCTCTGTCTCTCTCTCTCTCTATTTCTCTGTCTCTTTGTCTCTCTCTGGCTCTTTCTGTCTCTCTGTCTCGCTATCTCTCTCTCTGTCTCTGTCTCTGTCACTCTCTTTCTCTCTCTCTGTCTCTGTCTTCGTCTCTGTGTCACAATAAAAGCATAAGTATGTACAGTATATATTGCAGGAATCATACTATGTAGTCCCTCTACACTTTTTTATCCCTGAACACATTGCTTATTGAACATGCTGCTTTATATTTGAACATTTTTAAATTTGTTTCCAAAATTGTCACTTTTAGGAACTGATTTTGTAAATGAATGACTTGATTTTAACAGTGGCTCTCAGAGGCACTTTTTACTACCACCAACCACCAAAAGCTAGTCACTGAATGAAGAGGGCTCCAAAACCCAGAGATTGCCAGAGTATTTTTCAGAAGTTATTCCGGTAGCCCCAGAATTCGCTTCCATTCATGGGGCACTTACTTCCATTGTATAGCAACAGGCACTAGCTACCTCTTGTCTCCACAACTAGTTGCTGATTTGCAGAACAAGCAAGAGGTGTCACCCATCTTTGCTGCCTTGTACTTTTACTCCCCATTTTTCAATGAAAAAAAACCACACAATTGTTTCTATTGTGCATTCGAGATTCATTTCTGTCAATGTTGTAAGTAGCCCCCATAAAAATATTTTAGTGAGTCTGGTGACTTACTTGACCTGCGGGGAAGACTTAAAGTGGCAAATGTTAGCCACAAAGGTCATCTTTCCTAGGAAGCAGAGGGATTTTGCACCTGGCATACTCTATCTCCTCTTCCCTACTTCAAGTCCATCCTCACAGAGCTGAAAGTTGTATCGTCTCTTTTCCTTGAGAACCAGCTGTCTGCCAGGCACATGTAAAGACACAGTAGATGGGGACTTCAGCTCAAAGGAAGACAAGGGGCTGAGGCTGATCGTTTGTGTTGTGGAGTGACTCAGAGTTTCTTTGGGCCTAGTCACTGAGAGCTGGGAGCCCAGGTGAAACCCTCTCCTAAGCAAACTTTTCAGGATGAAGAATTGCTCACCCCACTGAGATTCTTAGTTTGTGGAAGATTGGGTTAGGCAGGGGGAAAAATCAACTCATGCTTTCTACCTGGGAACTTGGTTTTACGATAACTGCAGAGAAACTCCTGTTTTACATAAAATTCTGAAGAAGGTATACAAGTTAACATTATTGCAGAGAGAGAGAGAGAGAGAGAGAGAGAGAGAGAGAGACAGAGACAGAGACAGAGACAGAGAGAGAATATAATAACTCAAAAAACTTCCCTAACAGCCGTTGTAACATTTTCTTCTAGTCTTTTTCTCATATAATTTTTTGGGGTAGTAATTACAGAATCTATATAAAGTTTGCATCCTTCTGTCATTACCTAGCTGGTCCTAATAAACATTTTCTACACCATTTCATATTTTAATAACCACTATTTCAATGATGTCATAAAGGTATGAAAATTGTGGCTTTTCTCCTATACCTCTGCAATAAGTATAGGGATAAGAAGCTTAAGATATGGCTAGACCCTCAAAGACCATCTGCTTTTTCTCCAAGAGAAAGTAATTTCTTCATAGGTCCTTAAGTTAGATCCCCAAAACATGAGCAGCATTCATGACTGTCCAGACCAGTGGTGGCAATTCGAATGTACATGTGTCAGCTGGCTATTTATTATTACCAAAAGCTCTAACGGATTCGCCATCGCTAGTCTAGACAGCCCACGAGCATTGCAACTGGGTGTGACATTTTCAGTGGCCTAGGTCTACCACCTCCAAATTCAGATTTTGTACCTATATGAGCTACCCTCAGCTAAGGAGGTATTTCAGGAACGTAAATGTGGGGGTTGTATGTGTGGGACTCTCTCCTTCACCCCTTTAATCTGGTTGGTTGGTTTACTGGAGAGTGTGCTCTGGTGGGTTTACAGCCACCCCTGTGGTAACCAAGTGAGAAGATTCCAGAAGCTTTCTAACACTAAGTGGCTCAGCTGATGGGTGTGTCACCCAGACTCTAGACTCCCTAGTACTGCATTTTATCATGTTACTGAAAACCTCCAAGATTAAGTTTTACATAGAGACCAGTAAATGCTTAGGAAATTTTGAAACTTATCATTTGTGCTTATGATCTGCATAAACATTAGCAGTCCAACTCATTTGCATTATGAACCTCTTTTGTTAACATGATTTCTTTTTAGTATCCCAGATTCCACGAAAAAAGCATGTTCCTAATACAAGGAAATCTTCATACTTGGCTGCCAGAGCTCAGGAAACAAAATATTGCCAGCACCAATGTATTCTCAAGTGAAAAGAGATATTTGGAAATTAGGTAGCTTTAGGTCTGCTAATAGTTATTCTGACTTCTAAACAAGGTGCCACCTCTTGGGCCAAAACCCAGCTTTCTCAAAATTATTCTTTTGTGATTTTCTAACTAATTGTATAGCTATATAATTGTATAGTATTTTCTTTTGTTTTGGCATTAGGAGTTGAATTCAGGGTATTCACACTTTGATATCCCCAGAGGCTTTTTAAAAATTTTGAGACACAATCTCCATAAGACACTAACTTGCTCAGATTTGGTTAAAATTTGTGATCCTCCTTACTCGGCCTGGCTTTATAGTATGTTTTCATATGAGCCCAAGAACATATTTGTTTGTGAGCTGTTGACTTTGATCAATGTTGTCCTGGATTTGTTGAAATAAGCAGCTTTCCTTGAGGTGTCAACCCAGACACTCTAATGAGAGCAATCCCATATCAACTGAAAATCAGAGCATACACTTTTAATTACAGAAAGATTGTGGAAGCCAGGTATCACAGAAGGGCTTATGGGAGCATTGTTCAACCATTCCCTGGGCCCATGAGAGGGAGTCATGGAAGCTCTTGGTGTTTCCTCTCCTTTTAAAATAGGTCCTGGGTTGTTCGTTGCTAAAGGGTGACAGATTGTTCTCCACCACTGCAAAAAGACATTTTCCCATTTGAACAACTTATATGGCTTCCTCAAAAAAAAATTTCAGTAGTTTTGTCCACAGCCATTAGTCTTTCTCTACTTAGTCTGACTCAAACGGAGACCTGTTCTGTGGTTGGAAATTTTTGTGACATTACCAAGAAAGCACAGTCAGTATTAGGACTCTTTTCAAACTCCTATTTGCAAACCCAAGGAAAGACCTTAAGCAGGAAAGGCCGAAATGCTGATATTAAAGCAATTATGTGATGTTTGATAGGACTCAAATAATTAGTGAACTTACCCTTCGCTCTGTTGTTGCTTCTTTTCTTTCTTTTTCTTTCTTCTTTTCCTTCTTTTTGTTTTCTCTTTTGGTCAAAGGAACTAGTTCAAGGAAATTTTGAGTGAGGCTACCTGCCAATTGTTTGTGTTCATAAGGGACAAACAGGTTCTGGAAAATTAAAAGCCAGGCAATATCAAAAGTTTATGATAAGCTAGTAGTTTCAAAATTATTCCCCACTAAACTTTTATTTTTTTATTTTCTCCTTGCTGTGTCTTCCTTTGCGGGAAGTGGCAATACAGCTTCTATGGTTAGAAAGCACCTGAGGACATCACCAACCGGAAAACAAGAGGCCCAGGCAGGACAGTGATCTTACTTCTAAACAGATGGTGGGGATAGGGCAGACTGGACAGTAGAGCACAGACCTGTGAAATGTTCCCCTGAAAAAAAGTCTTAGAGCAATGCAGCATGTTAAAAACGCAGACTCTAAAACTCCGACCCTAGACCCTAGAGATTCTGGCCTAGTAGACTGGGGAAGGAACAATTATGCCAGATGATTACTCTGCAAGTGGTCCGTGCTGAGCCACCTCGAGAAACCCTACTTTAGAAGGAAGTGGATGTGAGCCATTATTTTAAAGGTAAAGAAGCCCTGAGAGGTTCAGTCATTTGTTCAAGGTTCTTATAAGCAAGATTTAGAAGGTAAGGCTCGCAAACAGGGTCTTTCCCTCTCCACACTGGCCATAGGGTTAGGAGTTCTTTTTCATTTTAGGCTTTCCCTGAGCCTAAGATACAGCCCAGACCTTGTTTCCAGTCCTTCTGTCACTACGGACCCCAGACTGGGTGGACAGTGCTACTAAGGGAAGGACACTCACAAATGGGTATACCTCCCTTAGCTTCCTCATCACCTGTGAACTGAATCACAACACAGACTCCTGGGGCCAGAGTGCTTGACTGTAGCAATGGTGTAATCACTGCCGGCTAAATTAGCTACTTCCCATTCAATTATGTAAATGGGCCCGTAGACCCTGGAGTCTTTTTGTCCTGTTGAGGACTTCCCCCAGGAGAACTGGTCCCTTGTCATATCCAGGTCATTCAAAACTTGGATATCTGATCACCTTGTCTAGCCAGGGAGAATAGGTGTACAGTGGTACCTCAGTTCACAAAGTTAATTTATTCCACAGTTCTGGAAGAGATGGTCACATTTGTGCTGGTGTGGGAAAGATGGCCACGGTTGTGTGTGTCACCTGAGGCAGAGTTTGCAAACAAAAACAAAATTTTGCCGGATTTTGCCAAAATTTTGCTGAATTGTTCACAAACAAAATTGCTCATGAACCGAGGTACCAGCGCATTTGCTAAGGCTACCATAACACAGCACCATCAATTTCATGATTCAAACAACAGAAATTTATTATGTCACAATAATGGGGGCTAGAAATCCAAAATCAAGATGCCACCAAGCTCGGTTCCTTTGGAAAGTGCCAATGGAAGATCTGTTTCTTGTCTCTCTCTAAGCTTCTGGTGGCTTCTTGGCAATATTTGGTGTTTCTTAGCTTGTCAATACATCATCTCAATTTCTGCCATCATCTTCACGTAGTATTTTAAGTGTGTGTGTTTGCCTGACTTTCAGATTAATCCTTTTTTTTATAAGGATAAGAGATATGTTGGATTAAGGGCTCACTCTACCCCACTTGGACTTCATCCTAATTTATGATGCAAGAAACAACCCTATTTCCAAATAAGGTCATTGTTTGAGGCACTGTAGATCAGAACTTCAATGCATGAATGGGGCACAGTTCAACCCATTGCATGTAGTCTTTGTTTATTTCTACAGCAGATAAGGATGAGCATCTGATATGTATGTGAGGTGGGTGGGTCCTGGAGAGAAGAGCAGATAGCATAGGAAAAAAGCTAAGCATAGGCTGCCCAGTGAAGTGAGAAGAGTTT